ACGTGCCAGGGCAGGGGGGAAGTAATGGCCTCTACTGTGCATAAGATGTCACTTGAAGACATTAAATACATAGTTACGTGATGTCTCCTTTTGCGGACAGGGTGATACAATGCTTTGCGAGAGTTTTAATGTCTCGTGACATGACACTGATAACACAATCAGTATCAATTTGAGGAAAAGACCATTTTTATTTACCAATTTTGTTGATGAATGCAAACAGCAAGCCAATAGTGCAGTAAAATAACCCTGCAGTTAAAATTTAACATTGGAATGTGCTCTGAGCTTTCTTTTGTCAGAGAATTTTCACAGACATTGCTATTACAGAATTTATATTCCTAACTTTAAACAGCATGCACCTTCATCAACAAACTAACTTGAGCTAATATTACAAAATGTCAGCGCTTATCAACAAACTGCAAATGTGGAATAGATGTTCCAAAAAACGTGGCTTTTATAGCCATACACTGCTTATTTAAAGGGTCTGTGTGTATTTTTGGGGTCTCAATCTGCCATGCTGTCTAGACGCTATAGCAGTGGAGTGTCACAAAATATTGTTTTTCAGTCACGTCAAGAAATTAGGGTCTAATAATACTCTGCTGTATGAGCCTTGAATAAAGGACTTGTTCAACACAGTGTTTGAATAACACAGAATTATAATCTTCATAATATTTTATGGCACTTAAGTGCCTACAAAAAACCTCATAGCACCTTAGATAACATTTTGTCTCAAATCTTTCGAGGGACCCCCCAAGTGGCAGCTGTTCCTGTGTGGCACAAGGTGACTCAACACTTTCCTGCCAGTGGGCATCAGTCTGCCAGTAGAGGCCAATGAATGCTGCTATGTGGAATCCCAATTGAGTAATTTGCGAGAAATATTTTACAAATTTCGCAAAGATCCAGGGGCCGGCCCAGGTCACGCTGGCGGGACCATGTCACTCAGCTGGCCTGGGAATGCCTGGGAATTCCCCAGGAAAAGCTAGATTCTGTGTATCGCAGTGTAGTGTATAGTAGTGTATGGTGTAGTAGTAGTAGTAGTGTATAATGATGTAGAGCTGGAGTCTGTCGCCGGGGAGAGGGAGGTGTGCACCACCCGACTCGACGCGCTGCCGCCGCCACCCTCACCAGGGCAAGCGGACTGAAAAACCAAGGAACGAATTTGACAAATTTCAGAAACTGTTGTATCATGACGCTGGCACACAAATGGCCAACTTGTTTCATGACGTCAGTGCATCAGTAACGTGCACTGTGAGGCGGACGACAAGTATTTGTTGGCTACTGTAGCCGCAGTAACAACTAGCATCGCCTGCCGGATTCCAACCGCGAGCCTCTGCAACATTAGGTGGAATGTGCTATCGCTGGGACATGTCATGGATGGAGTGGGAAGTTTAATACAGCAGGGCCATTTCTATAAAACGTGCATTCTTATACACAAGTAGTAATGAAATGGAGTGGCTGGGTGTCTTGGGGTTTATAGCGCTGAGCCAGTGCCAGTGAGAGCCAGGTAGTGACACTGGACAGTCACCTATGGTTTCAGTGGTTTCTCAAGTTTCAGTGAGCTGATGGTCTCAGCTTGGTCATCAGTGGCTGCAAAAAAAAAACCCCCATCATATTACATTTAACTTTTCACCTCTTCAAACAAAAATGCGCATGCCCAATTGCTGAATTGGCATATATTTCCCTATGATTATTTTCAGTATTTTGATTACTTGAGTTGAGAGCAAAACAAAAATATGAGTGCATCCAGATGCCCGGTCGCTTATGAACCGTACAGAATTTAGCTTCACTGAGCGTTCTTCAGCAGCGTTGCTCGTTTGGGATACCATTGCCTGAACGCTGTCAATTTGGAACGGTGTGCTGATTTCAAACATTAATAAACTTGAAAGTTTACTTCAATGTCATTCTCGAAAAAATATGCTTGTAACCACCCAAGCCCTGGCGAAATTGCACACATTTTAGATACAAAGTTTCATCGCGAATTTATTTACACTTATTTAAGAAAATCTACTTTTCACCAAAGCCAACCATAACGGAGTGGAAATGGCGCTGTTGCACGCTTACCAGCAGACTCGACTGCAGCTGGCATGCGTTGCCGACTGTTGTAAAAGTGTCCAAAATCTGTGGAGTGATTTATATTTTGTTGAAATGGTTGTTGAAGAAGGGACACAGCCCAACATGTCAGCCCATTAGATACGATTCCATTGTGGGCCAGTGTTAGTGACCGATGTGGTGTTTACTTTACGTGAGTTCACTGATTTGGCGATTGATTAAATTCGTATACAAACGCAGCTCAAATTATTTTTTCGTGTGGCAAACGAGCTGCAGAACACGTCGAGGCCAGAACACGTGGGATGCAAATTTGTGGATTGTGTAACAGGAGCTGTGCTTCCTCGCGGTGTAATCTAGGGAAGCATTTCCCTAGATGAGTTGTAACAATAAACAAATGTGAACTGCAAACTAAACAAAGGTCTGATAATTGAGCTGCTTAACTCACTTTACAAATTGAAGTAATAAAATAACAAATAAAACTAGATTTATCCAGTGCCATTCACACAAAACCTCACGGCACTTTACATAAAATAACTGAACCATTCACAATGCCTTAATGAATACAACTGAATAAGACCCTTAACAAATACAACGATGTAAAATAACAATTGCCTAAAGCACGAGACCATTTTTACTTCACTAGAAAACACCATAAAAAAGACAAAAAATTTACTTCATTATTCCAAAGCCTGCTATATAGCCAAAGACTCAAAAGTCCCAATTGATTTCCTCCTCAATTGAGAATTGAGGCAGTGTTCATCTCCTGTTTACATCTCTAAACCAGTAGAGAAAATTCCACATTCATACGGCAGGGGGTGAGTAAATCCACAGAACACCCAGTGTTCACTTCCCCACAAATCGGCTCTGATTTTATTGACCCAAGAGAGATTATGGGTTGAATCAATCTCCAAATAGGATTTGAACTCGCGACCTTCTGATTGCGAGTCACTCGCTGTCTCATTGAACCACGTGGCCAGTTCGTGAAAGACTCTTCCAATACAATTTCCAAGTAGAAGTTAATTCCTTCTTCAGACGAGAGAGCACCACTCCCTCCAGTTAGGGCAGTGTTTCTCTGTCTTACACGGGATTATCTCTTCTGACAGCAGAGGGTGCCCAGAGGGAACAGGGCCCCTATAAATGACTCACCTCCCCTACGCACGTGTCACCCTGTTTCTCGCTTGCCATACATTTGCTTCTGAGTTCTGCTTTTAACATTTGTGGCCCATGTGTGCACTTAAACAATCCAAAATCCCCCCCCCCTAACCAACACAAACACAGCTTGGGACAGTGACTGCCGAGTTGGGTGTGAATCATCGGTTTAGCCAAGTTCAGGGTGATGAGCTAGTCTTAGCCAAGTCTCGTAAATAAAGAAATAAAAGTTCGCATAATACTGAACGGACCAAAGGAGCCGTCCTTTATGATATTGGCTCAGGGTTGTCAGCCCCAGAGTTCCAAACAAACAAAAGGCAGTTCCATCAAATAAACGTCTCACACCTGCATTATGTTTAACGTGGACAGCAGAAGCCTGTTTAAGTTTATTTAAAAATCACTCACTGCTACCAAAATACTGCTCTTGTTGTGGCAGCCAAGCTGGACTAAGCAAACAGCATCTGTGTGTGCCTGTGCCGATGTATGCACGTGTATTTTGTACATGCAGATACACGTATGCATGTATGTATTTGTGAAAGTCAGGTTAATCCCAGAAACCTAACTTTGATGCACGACCTAACTTTGATTAGTGACCTATATGTCCCTGGCTTGGGACTCCCCTAAGTTGACCGGGTTAAAATAAATACTTGGTGCATGAGAGAGGCAGTCAGACAAATGTGACCCTGAACCCCATCAACACTACATGCACAATAATTGCCAAAAGTGGTGCTCACAAACACACACTGTTGTTGCCTCCAGTAGTCTATCCAGGATGAACATTCTCTTTATTGTTTTCCATAATTCCTCTCTCTGTCTTGCTGTAACTTCCCACAGTTAGCATTACGAGCATTAAAACTCGTCATTATATTCGCCCATAGAGATATTGCTTTATTGAATATGTGTTTATCACGTCAGGCGATGGGCTATTGGCACCTGCATTCACATCCCTCCACTGGTGTGTCGTGTCGCCACCTCTGGTTCCGCCCTGTCACGCTCACTGCACGCATGGACAGTCCGCACCATCTTCTCTTGAGCCGTCCGGCCAGTCGTTTGTGTATTGGCGCTTACATTTCTTACATTTATTACATTTCTGTGATATTTTTATTCGCACGTGTCACTCCCACATCATTTTTTATTTGCAATAACACTACTGTTCGGTAGTCATCTATTACTGATCATACGATACGTATACTTGTTTATTTTGTTACTAATATTCGCCACAATGCTGATGATTATTTTGCACTTTGTATGACGTAGTTTTGCGTTGAAATAGGACCCATAGCTAACAGAGAGTGTTCTTGCCTATAATTGTCTGGCAGTTCACCAGCATGGCGTCACACGAGCTCCGACTGGGTTGCTGTCCAGAGTTTGCGATGAGCCAATGCCACTGACACTGAGCACCCCCAGAAGGCCGTGTGGCTGACGGAATGTGCACAAAGGCCTTTCGTTTTTGTCCCGTGGAGGGCCAGATATGTGGAGAAGGGCTATGTTTTGCTCACTTAGCGGTCATCTACTTTTGTGTCATATGTGTTTGTGCATTTGTCGATATAATTTGAAGAATTATGACTTTTCTATTTCGTTTGAGAGCTGCCGGTGTCCAGCAGCCATTGTGAATCTCCGTGAGGTGCTGCTGTACGTGAGGACAATAGTTCCCGCGTTAAAATACTTGGCGCACATACACCCCTTCCAACGGCAAGAGCGTGCACAAGCCATTGCAGGGTTGGACCTTTACCAGTCGACTGGGCGAGTGTGTGTGTTCGTGTGTGCGTGTGTGTGTGTATGTGAGCGTGCGTGTGTCCACCTACCAGTACAGAGCTGATAAGCATGCAGCTGTAGAGAGCGGAGAAGTCCAAGAGCTCCTGCATGGGTTCTTCCTGTAAGACGTAAACAGAGGCATAAGAACATTATCAATACGAGGCATACGTCAGCAACTGCAAAATCAGAGCAACGCAGAACGTCGCTGGCACCGTGGTTGGGAATGTGAGCACAGCAATTCCACCAATATTATACTGGCCTGCAGTCACGTGCCGCTTTGCGACGTGATGGATTTTAACGATTCGGGGTCACGATCCAATTGACAAACTCATTTGTTTTTAACATGCAATGAGTATCGCACCTTGCGTGGAGGTTAAGAGTGGTTTCATTCCACGTCAAAGCACAATGTGTGCATTCAGCTCAGCAGCAGAGCGCAAGTGAACTTAGGGGGGCGGGTGGAATTGGGGGATTCTCCTGGCTCTGATTTTCGTTTATAATCCCCAGGATTGCACTTTCAGTTGTCATCCGGATAAAATGCTTAATTTTACATTGCCAGGGTTGGACATGGTTCGTAGTGGAGTGGGCGACTGCTTGGTGCTGCAGGGCTGGCTGCCAGGTGGCCAGGAGATGGGAGCACAGCGATGGATTCTTAAGTCTCTAGTTTCCTTCCACAAGAAGCCAAGCACTCGAGACTCAGTGATATTCAGTGAGGCTTCCTAATTTAAGGCGCATTCCTAATAATACTATTCAAAGTGCACATAACACATGAATGTAATGTGGGCAGTTGTTGTTATTTTTCTTTCTTTTTTTAATCTCTTATCGGATGAAGGCCCTGCAAAAGCCATGCCCCCAAATATTGATTGACGTGATTTCACCATTGGTGGAAATATTCCACGAGTTATCGCTTTGGATCCACAGCCCTGCCCTCGCTGCACCCACTCCATCCTGCCAGTACAGAAAGAGAAGCGGGGGACTGCAGGTCACCAATTGCAGAATTAGCGCTACATGAATTGCTCCAACAACAAAAAGAGACACGGTGGTGGCCAAAAGCTCACCATGCATTGGGGCCGATGATGTTTGTACTGGCTTTGAGGATTTGTTGTTTAGGGCCTTTTTAAGATGATGATCGATGATGACACATTAACGCACAAATATTGTCCTTGAGAGATGGAGAATCGCGTGGAGCCAGTGTTGGTCACATCACCAGTGCGAAAGAAGTTCAACACAGATACAACAACACAGATACATCATTGCATCGCCGTGATGGCCTTCAATGGGTCTCCCCAATTACATGCAGAGACAGGCCCAGGACCGGTTCAAATAATAGTCACTGGTGTCGGCCGTGAGCAGGAATCGAACTCGAGTCACAGGGTTCGTAGTGCAGTGCACTAACCGCTGTACTACTACTCCACACACGCACACACATATACACGCACGCACACAAATACAAACCCACACTAGCTGGAAATGTGTGCAGTGCAGTCAGCCAGAGTTCATTGGGGCTGATGGGAGGCCAGCCCAGGGTCCGGGTTACACAAACCACACCCCTCATGGAAGCATGAGGTGATGGGAACAAAAATGCACCGACACATGCAGCAGTCAGTGCTGCATACCCTTCCCAGCTCGCAGTCAGCGTGCAACATTCCCAGTAGGACCGTGTGCGTTGCGTGCATATTACGCCAAAAACATGACCAATGATGCCTCATGGTGCACAATGCATCGCGTTGTGTGCAGTGTTTCGGTGCGTGTGTGTGTGTGCAAGGGCTGGTCCGTTTATTTTAAACAGTAAATAAACACACACACACACACAAATGCACGACAAAAATTACCAGCATTTAGAATAAACATACGAGACATCTCCCAAAGGTAACTCCTTCATTCAAGACTTCTGGTCTGGACAATTCCTCTTATGTGAGCAATTCCTGAACCATTCGTATAGAGTACAGGGGCAGCTATGGCTCATACTAATACGCAGCAAAGCCATGTTTTGTACTGGAGGAAAAAAATAACCTGAGTGATCTTGTATCGTTTGTTGTTGTAACTTTCTGACCCGCCCCTATTGGACGGACATCTGTGAAAAAGAGCTTTATAGCTCATCGGATTCCTCCCGTATAAATAAATATTCTTATTCTGATTCTGACTGTGTTTGATCTGGAACCTACCCACTGTAACAAACACAAGCTCTCACTACCCGGCACATGCACACACGCACACAGACTTACAGCCACTCACCTCTTCCTCATTATCATCAACACTCTCCTCTTCAAAGTCTTGCTGGCACGTCTGTGCGCTCCACTCCGCTTCGTCCTCCTCCACGAGGTCATCCTCCGGGTCCGAGTTCGAGCGTGTGGCTTTTGGGGCCCTGTCGCAGTGCCAAGACATAGATTGCCTGTGAAGCCTCACGGTGGACTGTCAGGGCGACTCGTGACTTTCGACTGGCAGAGCCCAGGAGGAGATGGGTGAAGCCGGCACTGCACCCAGGCCAGCTGGGTCTACTTAGCGCTGTCACACAGTGCCAGGTAATCATTATATCAGGCAAAGTCAAACTTCAATTTTGAACTCATCAGGTTTAGATAACAATTGGCAAAGCTGTTGTGCATAGCCAGGAATCGAAACTGGGGCACCAGGGCAAAAGTGCAAAGTATTAACCAGAAATGCCACTTTTCTTCATTTATTCTGAGGCACAGATCCCTCAATTAGCCTCAATAAAAAATCTGCACTCATAATTACATCAAATTCCATTCGTCACTAAGTGGCGGTGACATCACCCTGGCACTTGTACCAGCTTAGGAGAAGTTTCAGACCATGCGAAGTGTCAAAGGCCCCCTGGTGGGAGTCACGGGGCGGGCCACCCAGCTATTATGGGTTCATTGACTGAGATGACTTGCAGATGCACCAACTACGCTTCCATTGAGAAACCTTGCTGTGTTTTAGCCACCTGGCACTCTGTTCATCGTCATGAGTATTGCTCTTCCGCTTCCAATTATTGCTGGATAGCGACTGCTGCCAACTGCCCATCAGAATCTTGCATGAGCCCGCTCCAAAGAGGCCAATCATGACACCACTAGTACCAGTCGATGGCACATCCGTTTAGCTGCAGGACCTCCTGTACATCAGCCCACCTCTTCTCTAGCCAGTGCCGTGCCCGTTTAACTCCCTTTATCTGGCCAAACGGAAGTTGCTTGGGCATGCGCTGGCTGGGCGTGCAGTTGCTGGGCATACCGACTATATCATCCCACTGATGTGTCTATGTCCAAGCAGAGTTTATATGTCTTCTCAATATGAGCAGCAATTAACATGTCATCAACATAAATAATATGCATAAGGTAAAAGATGAAGGAGCCATCCTTTGAATGTGCCATTGATCACCCACCTATGTTGCGTCTGTACCAGCACCAATATAAGCATGCTCACAGTTCTTATTTAAAGCTTTCGTGACTGCAGGGATTCATATTCTTGGTTCTTTCGGTAAAGTGACGTAGAAGGGAAACAATAAAATAATACAAATATAAAACAATACAATTCTTACGACGTTTCGACTGCAACACAAGCAATCATCATCAGGTAGTTAGCGGCTGCTGCCAACTGCCCTAACCCTAGGGGGGGTTCAGTCGAAACGTCGTGAGAATTGTATTGTTTTATATTTTTATTATTTTATTGCTTCCCTTCTAGGTGACTTTACCGAAAGAACCAAGAATATGCTCACAGTTATTTACTTTTACGCATTCGTGCGTACATCTGCTATGCGTTGTTAGACTACCTGTTCGTGTTCAAGCTGAAGATGATGTTTCGGGATTCTGCACGCCTCTGCTGCTTCTGGGCCTGAAGGAGAATGTGAGGATACACAAGTCATCCACAGAGAAGGATTTCCCTCCAGTTGCGCAGTCTATACAATCACAAGATTCCATTGTTCTCAACAGAAATCAGATTGATTTCCTATCAGAACTAACGATGGTCCCCAACTTCACCAACCTGCGCTGACCAGCGCAATGAAGTACGGTCAAATAACCTCTTCCTGGACTGACACGAGATATAAGGCTTTCGCCCACCAGTGCATTAACAAAGGGCTGTTAGATTATATAGTATATACACGGCGGCCATTAGATTTAAATGTCTGAAAATGCTGCCTTTAAAAATGTTGTGGCTGTTAAGAGATGGGGCTACTGAATGCAGGCTTTACCTAATTATGATTCATCAGGATAGCATAGCCATCATTATACTTCCCTGCAGAAAACAACCATCCCTACATTCTGTGCAGCTTGGCAACACACAGCGAGATCAAAGTTGAGTATGGACCTAACCTCCTTCACATTTCCAGAGGACTGGCTGGCCACTGTGGGACGAACAGACAAATGGAATAGTAGAAAGTTTATTTAAGAATGGAGCTCGCATTCTAAAATGTAACACATGCTCTCGAATTAAAATATTCATCCTAACCGAGGATCACGTCTTCCTAATTTAAGCAACAGGCTAATGCAAGAATGTTTTTTTTGCAAAACGTATCATAATCAATGATGGTGCTGGCATTTAGATTTGTGGGGGCATTATATACTTTATTTTCTCCCTGTATTGTACAGCATATGCATGCTCCCAGACATTGTCTGGCGAATTCAGTGCACACACTCGGTGCGCAATTTTAGGAAAATTACTTTAAGCGTTTAAAGTACTTGTAAAATGTCTGCGTTTTAATTATTTATTCCTAACCACAGCATTTGAAGAAAGTGCTCCAAATTGTGACTTCAACATAACTCTGATTAACATATATTTAAATGTATATGGTTTGGGATTTTGTGGTCCATTGCACGAACACTTCTATTCATCCATAATAGAGGTTTTTTGGGTTAGATCGAGTAAATAAATAAATGTGTCGTTAAACCCCGCCACCACCCGACACAGCCAACTAGTAAGGGTTGTCACGTAAACAGAACGTGCCAATTCGTCACTAGTACAGCACACCGGTGTGTTGGAGAGCCAAGCCACAACATTTACAAACTGAGTACAACATTTCGCCAGTAATTACAACTAGCTTCGTTAGGCGATAGACACATTTGTGGAGAAGTCTAACTCTATTATGGATGATATAGGTCGCGAAAGCCTACGTGTTAAACTGACAGAATATGAGATGAAGACAAGTTCTGGAATACCTACAGAGAGTTCAGAATGAGATCGTTTAACGGAGGTGAAGTCCTGAGACATGCATCCAGGGCCGACATCGCTCGACATGATGCACGTGTGTGGCCCATGTTTAAACCGAGGGGGGGTCTCGAGAGCTTTGCCGTGTGTTCTTTCGTATCGATATCAAAAGCACAATTGGGGTAAATGTGGAGGGAAAGGTTAAAAATGTAAAATTTTAAAAATGTAGTCATCACAAAAAATTTAGGAAGTTAATACCAGCTCGACGTTGGTACTCAAGGCCTGCTTAGCGGCCGCGTTAGGCACGGTGCTTCTGTTTGGGTTTGTTTAGTTTCTCTGACGCACAGTAGCCTTGGTCTCCTCAAGTTAGTTCAAAACAGCAGAGATGTCTCGACCTGCGCCTGACAAAGTACAATTGGGATATATTTTTCTTAAAATTATGTTTTAAATTACCACCGAACTTTTCTTTGAAGTCTAAATTTGAGGTCTAATGAGTCCTTCTTGGGGAATAGCCTTAAAAATATTTAATACTCACATTTTTCTCGACGAATAGCCCATGTGCACTTTGCTTGTCCTGGCTTACATACAACATACACTACAGTGCAGGCCCTATTAATGGTTATTCACCTTTCCAAAGCAACCATATTTATCTCAAGAGCATAACAAAAAAAAGCCTATATACACTAATGTTGAAGCAATATCACCTCTCAACATCACTTAATCGCTAATATGACATAAAACAAACACTATAAAGGAGTTTAAAATAACAACACTTCAAGATAAACTAAGGCCCACAATGCGAGTCAACGTAAGCCTTGTGTTGGCTGGTGGCACATAGTTCCATTGTGAGTTTCAGGTTTCTCAAGAATTTTGCCCACCGAATTAATAGCAGTGTGTATTGAACAAAGCCTAAGACAACACTTGCGGTGTTTTTAACACTATTGTACTATAAAAAAGAGAGGAAATTAAATTAGAATGACTTGTTTAAATAACATAAGAGAAAAGCGTCGACACATGCTTGAGATTGAACTGAGGCAAACCACGAGCATGATTGCAGTGATGTGAAGCATAGCGATGCATTATATTTCATAAAAATTGAAGTGATATGATAAATAGTTCGATAAAAAGCATGATGGAAATGAAAGTTCAACTTTCATTACTTCTTGTTCAAACATCACGTGTTAGCCAGAGAAAATACAATAAAGTTTTCCTTTCTCTTGCAAATGTAATATCAATGTGCACAAAGGATTGTGGAGTAACCAGCACGAAATGCCAACCAGGATACTTAACAAGGCACCTTTGAAATGAGCATGGTCACTTGCACTCCCAGAGACAGCATTTGCTTTACTGTAATAGGTATTAAAGTGCAGTCACATTTAGAACTCGTCTGACATGTGTCTCATCAAAGTGTCGCCTAGCGGGGACGTTATAAACCATTCTAGCTTTAACACTGTACGATACAGTACTTTGATGCTTCTGGAACATGCGTGTATTTGTAAAGAGTTTTCAAACCAATGCCCTTTGCAGAACTCTTAAAGCTCTGTGACATGACCTCCTGGTCGCCATGTTGTTTTAACATTTGGGCTCTTTAGAATTGTGGTCCCGGTTGAAAATATTGCATCACCGAAGGACGCACTACTCGTCGTAACAACGATGTTAATTAAAAACAATGTGAATTCACATTGTTTTTAATTAACAACAATGTTAATTAACAATGTTAATTAATAATGTTAATTAACATCAGGACATTATTGAAGAACTTCAATAAGGCAGCAAAGTTGGGCTCAAGATAAATGTGACCAAAACAAACTTGAACAGACTCTTTTGCTAAACGATTACTTTTTCTTTCCGAGACACAACTCGAAAATACATCAGACGATTTATACCGAAGGAAATTTTTGAAAGCAGATAGGGTTCAAAAAGGCGACCTAAACAGATGAGCAAGAGAACGACACCTTGGAGAGGGATCCACCCAGCACGGGAAAGATCATGGCTGCTGATCTGAACTAAGCTGCCTCTCCCCTCCATAAACCGGGCCTAAAATGAGTACCCCATATGGTGTGCCAGCATCAGGAATTGAAAAATGATGGTGGTTACAATGTACACGTGACTGGTCCCACGCTCCACTGTGTGCCATGCCAGCTGTAATATCAGGCAACGTTTGACTCCAAGGACCCAACAGCGAATACGGCAAAATAGGACATCTTTGGCTTGTATTTGTCCCGCGTATGATTTATTTGTATGCTGGAAGGTGGTGCACTTTTTGTTTGACTTTGGAAATTGTCCTCTTGTTTCATCTAAACCATGACACGTCTCAGGAAATGAAAGGTAATTTTTCCTCGGTGCATATTCTCCTGCATAATTGGAATATTTTTTTGTCGAGTTATTTAGCCAGGAGAGAACGCATTGAAATGCATTGGTTAACTGTATTCAAATAGGCGCACAATAAACACGTTTACGTCTGCTTCGAACGTTAGCGTCGTTGTTTTTGACTGGACTGCTTTCTGGCAGATGCAACACAATGAACGCGGTGTGCAACAGCATACAGGCAACAATGTTGCCCCTAACACAAGGAACTGTTGATGCTGCGCTCATTGGCGTGCAGCAGAAAGGAGCTTTTGTCTCCATTTCATTTTCTGGCAATTACAGTTGTAGGCAATGCATGTTTAATGGTGCTCTTCAATTGAACATTTGTTCAAAAGGGTGTTTGCTGCTGTGTCTCGTTAAAACAATTCTGGAGCACTGCTGTAAGTTGAAAAGTGTTTTTAATTTTCGGGTGTGAAGTGAATTGTGCAAACAAATAACGAAAAACTTTTTTAGAAGCATAGTTGCATTTTATATACTTGCTTGTATGTGTGTGTGTTGAAATTCTCTCACGCCGTACGAAGCCAACCATGCTAATCGGAGGCGTTTAAGAAATAAATTGCTGAATGAATAACAAAACAATGTGAAAGCAAGTCACATCAATGTCTAGTTAAGTCGACAACGAGCCCCACCGAGATCCTGGATTGGAATCCCTTTCCTTCACCACCACTCCAGCCAGGGTTACCCGTGGAGCCAACTATAGGTTCCAGGCATGTTCCAAATGGATGACCACATTAATAACGTAAAATAACTCGTGTTGCACTTATTTTGATATAGCTCAGCTTAAAAGTCTATAAATATATGGACATGATGAGTAAGAGACTTGGAGGGAACCAGTCGTCTACGTGGATTTATGTAAAACTATAGAACATCGTTCCGTTGTTTTTACCACCCAAAAATCTCACTGCTCTGACTTCTGAACTGGGTACCGCGACAGAGAGTTGTGACCTTTGAACGCATTGTGGTACAGAAACAACGTTGTTCACTGTGCATAGGCTTCCGCCTATACATGTACTGTAAAGGGATATCTAACGGCACAGCGTCGTATAGATACCAGTTGGCCAAGACTGTGCCAAGAGGCGCTAAGGAAAATAGTCTTCCCTGCTGACATCCTTAAAAATAAACTGTCACAGATTAAAATAAAAATCTTTAAAGAACGATCAACATTGCCTGTAGTTGACTAATAATAAACAAAATAATTCGTCATTTACTGTCAGAATGTAAGTTTATATGAAATTCGGGGGCCCAAATTATAAAAGTTTTTCTTACGGAATATTGTGTCTGGGAATATTGGTAACAATTGTAAATGTGTAACTCTATAAAAG